TGTAAACAAGAGTTTGTTTTCTTCTTCTTCAGAATGTATATGATGTCCAAAACCTCAAAAATTCACAAAAAGACCATGAAAATGATCACAGAAATGTGCAGGTTGTCAGCAGTCACAGAGTTTTTCCAGGCAAGGTTAGTTGAAGTATCTTAAATCTTTGTGTGTTATCTTTATAATTCCAAAATATGGTCAATGGAAGAAAGAATAGGCACTGATTGGTTGTAACTGAAATTATATAAAGATCTATAAATGGTTTGATTCCTCTCGTTAATTAAAAGATTCGTTATCTTATAAGGAGGAGATGTATAATTTAAAGTAAGGCAAACTTTAGGTTTCAGTTTCTTTTATAGTGTTCAACAGGACCTCAGAAGATATGAAGAACAAGCTAAGAATATTGGACTGTGTAAGTTGAAGTAACATTCTGTACGATTATGTATAATGGCTGTTACATGAGTTTTGAATGTACACATGGATTTTAATTAAACTGTTGATAGACTCTCGTACTGACTACTTGATTTTGTTAATTTTTTGTTTCATTTGGCTGTTGTGGCAAATTTAGAGAAATTATGAGCATGTCTTTTTGTTTCTTTAGTAGCTAGTCAAGGGCTTGAATAAAAAGTTTTGTAAATTGTAAAAGTTAAATCATTTAGGGTAAATTATATTCTATTGGGTCATGTGAAACTTTGAAATTTACCTTTTATATTTTTATATTCCTATCTCTTGTAGTTTTACTTCTAAATATAAGATTTTCTATCTTGTATAAAATCAAACCATCAGGAAGAGGTATTTCACAGTTGTTTTTGTATCAATTCATAAACTTTAAAATATCTATGTAGAAGTATATAAATATTATATAAGCTTAGAATTCTTGAAATATAAAAGTAAGGGAATTACATCACAGTTTTTAAGAGTAAAACGTTTAATTGTAACTTAAAAGTGAGCAGTAAATTATCATCGAGCTGAAATAAAAAACTTGAGTATGAAAATTAAATATAAGAACAGGTTAGATATTAGGGAAAAAAATTCTGAATTTAAAGTCTGTTTGATTTTTGTATTTAATTTATTTAAAACATTACTTTGAAAACAAAAAGAAAATTATCATTTTTTAAGTGAAAGAAAAATAGTCCAACTTATGCAGGTCAAATTTCCTTAAATTTTCCTAATACTAAGGAATTGAATGTAACACATTGTCTAAAGTTTCAATAAGACTTAAAAATTTAATTTGTTGTTAATATTATTTTGTTGTTGTAACAGATAAACCTTGTACCATTTACTCACTAGATAGCAGAAGTTTTAATGATACTGTTACTGAAAAACTTGGTTAAAAGTATGTGGTTATTACTGGTATAAACCCAAATATAGAAAAAAATAACCTGTCTAAAGATGTTTCCATTACGGTACATTACCTCGGTTCACGTGTGTAGCTGTTCTCATTCAGTGCTGACCACTATATGCAATTTTTTTTCTTGACATGCCACAAGCCTTGAACTCCCACGATCAACATGGTTTAACTGCGTCTTGCATGTTAGTCATCACGTGACAACCCTCCTGATGCACGTGTCTCCCTCTATTCGGTTCTACCGAACTATCACTTTTTTTTTAGGCAGTGATCGAGTGCAGACTTTTTCACTGGTGCTCTTTTTGGGTGGTAATTTCATTTTTTGCAAAGTAGTGACTCATTTCATTTGTTTATTTGCTGCAGTTTAGTTTTTGTCTGTAGTAGTTTGGTATGATAACTTACCTTTGTTTACTGATTTTTTCTTGTCATTTTTGACTTCTTCAAAGTTTAGGATGAATTCCAAAACTTGTGTTTTACAACTTCGAATTCAATTACTGGCTTCAGGTCTGGAGGTCTTGACTGAGGATTTTTTGGCTATCAATCGATAGGAAATTGATCGTTTATGAGACGTCCTTTTTCTCCCAACAGTATTCGGGTTCCTTCTATTTTTTCCTAATCTGTCCATGACAAGGAGGATTCTAAAAGATTTTTTTTCCCTCCTCCTACCTATGCCATGCCTTCCCATGCCTCTCCTACGAAATATACTAGGCCTAATTTTGTTTTTTTATGGATATACTTTCTCAGGTGTGTGTCCCATTTTCTTGTTTTCATATGATACTGTTTCTTTACACATGACCCATCATTAGAGACCCTTGTTTTCCTACCTTCCCCTGACACTGGGGTTCATGATGAGCATTTTGTTTCTCAGTTGAGGGCTTGTGTTAGCATGTCTTATCCTCCATGGACTAATCAACCTTTTCTTGACTCCCAGCAGGTAGTCACTTTTGCTCATGTGGGGGGCTGTCCCTGATAATTCTATCCATTTCTCTCACCTCTGTCTTACCTTTACAGCTCTCCTACAGTACTTGTCCAACATACATGTTCTTTCTGAGGCATTACACCAATTCTCTGATGCACTTTCCATCCTTACTCCACATTGGCGTTATTCTACTCTTTAGCCATATCCCTTCACACGTAGTTTTGTTGCTGTTGGGATCCTATTGGGAAGGACACTGTCTTTTCACAGGTTCATATACTTTTCCATCATTTTTTATGACTTCTGGATGGCTCTTTTTTTCCACCTGTTTGTTTTTGGAGATTTTCCAGTGTCTTTGGATTCACATGTAGACTTTGTGATTGGGTACCTTCCATTTTTCCTGGAGTCTCACTTTCATCTTTCATTGGAGGAAACTATTCAGTCAGGCATGTGTTCTCCATCTCATACCTTATCTCCCACTGTTGCCATCATTTAAACTCCAGTGCAGCCATAACTGGGTAAGTTATCTTTTCTGTATATATTTTTCCATCCAGGGGCACATACCATATAGGATTCGGATCCCGCTCAGTGGTGGGCATTGCCTGTCCAGATATGCTTCTTATATCTCAACTCTGCATTGTATGGTCTATAATGCACTGTTGAGATGGAGTGTTCCATGAGATCACTAGTAGGTTTTTCCTTGCAATATATTTACCTCATTAATATGCTTGTTCTGGACCATACTAACCCATGGACTTACACGAGGAAAGCAGAAGGGGATAGCTACCCATCCCTGCTGTCCCTTTGATTGAATAAATCGGGAGAGGTCTGCTTTTCAAAATAGGGTACTCTCTACTAAATGGAAGCGAACATATTCAGGAGTCCTCCGCTATGGTCCACCACCCAAGCGATATTCCACCCATATTCCACTAGAAGAACAAGTGGACAAAATCAGTGGAGAGTCTGGAGGAATACCAATACTGAAGACAGTGCAATGGGTGATCATGAAAAGGGTAGCGGTGTTCTGCTGGTGTAGATGGCATGAGACCCTCCAATCATGCACTCTAATTCTGTGTGGTGGGTCCTGGAGGTTGATGTTGTGCCCAGCTTCTATGTGGTTCTATCTAGAAGGTGAGGTTCCTTATATTTTATAGATGTAATCCACTTCTGTGTGGTGGGATGTGGAAGTTGCTATTGAGTTCCAGCCTTTGTGCTGTCCTATCTTGAGGATGATGTTGTTTTGGAGTAGATCCATCACATTGCAGTTCACCCGATCAATTTGTATCCATCATCCTACCATCACCTGGATGTCAGTTCCCAATGTGTGGTTTTGGATTAGAGTGGACTGATCAACATAAATCCTCACACATGTGTTGATTGTGTTTCCTCTTTTACACTCAGTTTGCTTCAGGATCTCCACGCAGTGGGTCCTGCATGTTTATGTTGCACCCAGCTTCTGTGCAATTCTATCTGGAGAGTGCAGTTGCTATATATTTCTAGAGGTGATCCACTTCTGCATCGTGGAATATGGAGGGTGGCTTTGTGCTGTGGCTTCTGTGTGGTCCTATCCAGAGGATAATGTTGATTGGGACAACAGTTCTTCTTCTCACGCTCCACCTCAGGGTATGTTCACTGCCTGAGGCTGATGTTGCACAGTGAAGTATCAGTCTGATTGATTTTAATGTGACATGCCACTTTGGCACATCTCTTCCTACTGTCATTCGGATGTTGGGTTCCTTGATGCATGGTGGGTTATGGATTTGAGCATGTGCTCGTTTCATAGTTTGGTTTGCACAGTATATGCTTCTGTTCTACTTAACTTGAGGTGAAGATTGTGTGGACCCTCCTCCTACCACAGGTTGGAGGTTCAGTTGCAATGCTGCTTGGTTTTGGACTTGAGTTGACTGGCCATGTACAGTCTGTCATGTTCTAGCCACTCTACACCTTTGAGCACATCCACTTTAGTTTTCTCAAGATTCCTGTCTGCAGAAAGTTCTTCTACGGGATTGAGATTCTGGTATACTGTGGTTCTGATTCCAACCCAACTGGTTTTCTCTCCCCTTTCAGTTGTGCTCCTTCCACTTTCCACCCATGTATGCAACATCTATTTCGACACTTAGCACAGAGAATACCTGGTACAGAAGTGATGTTGTATCCCATGTATGTTCCTCTCCTAATGGGGATCACACTTCATGGGTGTTCTTTGAATGCTTTTGGAGGATACTTATTTCTATCCCTTGCACTGGTCCCTCTACATATTCATTGTGGAACTCTAGCTACACATGTGAGTAGAGGTAAGTACCTACGGGAAATCTGTTTTCAGTAGAGGAATATAATAAAAATGAGTGTTTTCTGTCACATGATGATTTACATGCGAGATGCAGTTGAACCACGTTGATCATGGTAATTCAAGTTTTGTGGCATGTGAAAAAAAATTTTTGCATATAGAGGGCAGATTTGACAAGAACAGCTATACGTGTGAGGAGAGGTGAGTACCTATGGGAAGTCTATTTTCAGTATAGGAAAATAATCACTTTAAATGCTTTAACTGATTCTTTGAAAAACTTAATTATTTCAAAACTGAATTAAGGAAGTGGAGATGTCGTTAAAAATATAGGAAAATATAATTATATCAAATAAATATTGAAATTTTTACCTAACAGTATGATATTTAAAGTTTTAGCTTCAGATTTGCCTCAACAATGAGAAAGCAGACTAGAGATTATGTATTAGAAATTGCAAAAAATAACATATTCGTTTCTGAGGAAATAATATAACGAACTTTACAAGTTCATTCACGTAGTAGTATCATGTATGGACCAAATCACTCAAACATTTAATTCTTATAATCATAAGTTAGCTGGTTTTCATTGTAGTTTTTTAGCTCGGTGAAGAACAGTTTTAAATGTTCTAGTACTTAGAAATAATTCAAACTTGGACTAATTTTGATATATGTTTAGACCATGATTTAGCTGTTAGTGAATGTGAATTGGTTAAACAAATCTTTGTTTGTTAAAGTTCTTGAGTTTTCTACTGAACGGTCTTAATTCTCAGTTTGTATGGAATGGAGAAGTGTATGATCACATTGATAGTATTCAAAGAATTTCAAGACTTGCCCAATAACATTTTATAGCTAACTTGTTTTCCATTACCAGGAACAAAACTGATTAAAACAACATGAACCCTTACAATGTTGTGAATAATGTGATTTTTTTTAAACTTGTTTAGTAACATATATGTTATTTAAATACGTTTGTTATCGTCCAAATATTACATTCAACAATTCAGAATTACATTCGGAATTTTGGTTTTTTTCTTTTATTAGTTTTATACTATTTCAAAACTTATTATTTTTTATATCAGACCTACAATCTCATTAGACACTTTCATTAGCTTTCTTTTTTTTTTATTCTTGAGATATTGATAAATGTTCTTAATAAAAAAAGGGTTTTCAAATTTCCTTCATCAACACAGTTATTAGAAATTATGTAACCACACTTTATACCTTTTCATCATAGTGACTTATTAATAAATCTGTGTAGGTCAGTTTTCCAAATATTGGTGTTGAATAAGAACCTTAACAACTCAACAGTTTTGTCTCAGTTGAGTCTTTTTCTCCATACTTTCATTAAATCTAACACTAGGTCACTGATATATGAAAACATTTTTACCAACATATCCAAAAGTACTATTGTAAACTGGGATTGAAAACAGTAAAGTAACAACATTACTCAACTCAGTCAATAACAGGTACAAACATACTCACTCAGAGAAGGATTAAGTAACAACATTACTCAACTCAGTCAATAAAGGTGTAATCATCCTCACTCACAGTAGGATTAAGTAACAACATTACTCAACCCAGTCAATGACAGGTGTAATCATCCTCACTCACAGTAGAATTAAGTAACAACATTACTCAACTCAGTCAATAACAGGTGTAATCATCCTCACTCACAGATATATTAATTAACAACATTACTCAACCCAGTCAATAACAGGTGTAATCATCCTCACTCACAGTAGGATTAAGTAACAACATTACTCAACTCAGTCAATAACAGGTGTAATCATCCTCACTCACAGAAGGATTAAGTAACAACATTACTCAACTCAGTCAATAACAGGTGTAATCATCCTCATTCATAGAAAGATTAAGTAACAACATTACTCAACCCAGTCAATAACAGGTGTAATCATCCTCACTCACAGAAGGATTAAGTAACAACATTACTCAACCCAGTCAATAACAGGTGTAAACATCCTCACTCACAGAAGGATTAAGTAACAACATTATTCAACCCAGTCAATAACAGGTGTAATCATCCTCACTCACAGAAGGATTAAGTAACAACATTACTCAACTCAGTCAATAACAGGTGTAAACATCCTCAATCATAAAAGGATTAAGTAACAACATTACTCAACCCAGTCAATAACAGATGTAATCATCCTCACTCACAGAAGGATTAAGTAACAACATTGCTCAACTCAGTCAATAACAGGTGTAATCATCCTCACTCACAGAAGGATTAAGTAACAACATTACTCAACCCAGTCAGTAACAGGTGTAAACATCCTCACTCACAGAAGGATTAAGTAACAACATTACTCAACTCAGTCAATAACAGGTGTAATCATCCTCACTCACAGAAGGATTAAGTAACAACATTGCTCAACTCAGTCAATAACAGGTGTAAACATCCTCAGTCATAGAAGGATTAAGTAACAACATTACTCAACCCAGTCAATAACAGGTGTAATCATCCTCACTCACAGAAGGATTAAGTAACAACATTACTCAACCCAGTCAATGACAGGTGTAAGCATCCTCAATCATAGAAGGATTAAGTAACAACATTACTCAACCCAGTCAATAACAGGTGTAAACATCCTCATTCATGGAAGAGCTGAGTAAATTTTGTAGCCTGTACTTTGAAAGGTTTATAAATTTGTATTTAAACTTACAAGTTAGTCATCATAGTTTTTTTTCAAAAATGTTATTCCTGCTTCTGTGTTTTCTGAATAACAATTTGAGGATTGACACTTCAGTATTTGAATCATTTGCATGCTTTGTTATAAGGATTGTATTGTTGGTCTCTTCTGATAACAACAGCGTGATGAATTTGATGCTAAAACTTTACACATTAAAAAATACTTTTTCAATAAATATTTGAAAATATCTTTAGATGAAGATAGAGTAGACTATTTATGAAAAATAATATTTAAACTACTATATTTAATGTTTTTATGGAAAGAGTGAGTAACAACTGACTTTGTTTACACATAATTAGTGGTAACGTGAAGTGTCAGAAAAATTCAGAATCTTCTCTCTCAGTTTAAACTGCAGTGATGAAAAGCTTCTTAAAAGTATTAAGAATGCAATGTTTTTTCAGTTCAGTTGTCTCAGCAAGTTGCAGAATTATAGCTAATTTTTATGGTGGTTTTTTAAGCGAATGTAACCCTCTATTGGAGAAGAAATGTTGACCATAATTCCAGACTTACTATATGTATGTACATGAAATGTGGCAAGCTTTCAGTAGAACTTACAAGTCTGTCGTACACAGAACATCAAATGTTCTATAAAGGTATTTCTACTCAAGAAATGTCTGTGAATTGATGACCTCAGTCTGACCCAGACTCTGACAAATCAGAGTGCATCAGTTCATGTGAAGAATAACAATACTTTTGTCCATTGTACAGTTTGCATGTTGTATTTTCATAACCTCTAGAACCTTTAAAATGTATATCTAATTATTTTTAGTATCCCTGTGCACTGTATCTGGTATTTACTCTCCTCTATCCTGAAATGTCACTAGATCAGCAATGTAGGGTCAGATGAATAGTTAATAAATCTGACAATAAATTCATGACACCATGTTGAAGGTCATGTGCATTGTGACCCCAACCCATGCTCATAGAGTTAAGCATTACATGTAAAAATGCTTCACTTAGTATTGCCTTATTCAGAAACATTACACTGTGTGACTGCTTGTTGTATTTAGAAACAAGAATTAAGTAGAAAATTTTATAAAAATTTCAGATTTTTGTACAATAAAAATTTTACAATGTAGTTAATGTTGGGTATTTCTCAACTGACACTTTTACTGAATTTTGTTACAATTTTTTGGTGATACTCTTATGAACATGTCGGTGAAATTCTGTAAAAATGTTTGTAAGATTTTGTCTTCCAAGAAGCAGTTTTTAGTAATTGTATCTTTTAAGTGACTCTTTTTTTTTGCAATTTGACCTTAATATTTTATCATCTTGCTGTCCCCTGGTGGGTCAAAGATAAGTTAATCGATTTATAACACTAAATTTGGGGATTTGATTCCCTATGGTGAACAGAGTGTAGTTAGGTCAATGTATAGTTAGGTCAAATCAACAATATCGTCATCTCGCAACTAGAATGCATTATTTGTATGAGATTATGATTTTACTGCTCTGCCAAACTGGAATTGAGTTTTTTCAAATTGTTGTTACCTTTTAATTCAAATTTTTAACCATGTTTGTTAACTTTTTTTTTTTTACATTGTGCAGCTAAGCCTATAATTTGTTATTACACTTGTGGCTAATGAGTTAAAGCAAGTTACGTTGTAAGAAAATTTACTAGCATCTTCAACACTGATTGAAAGTTCTGGAAAATACAATATCAGTAAAAAGTGTTATTGCATTTATATTAGACTGTGAATCCAATAATTCATGGTGTCACAAAATTGTGTTCTGTACACTGGGATGACGTAAGAGCGATGGTCAGTCCTCACTGTTCAACCAGGCAAAATTAGCTCAAGTGTCAAAAGTAGTTGCTACTGTCTAGTTTCAAAATTAGGGCTATTTACATATAGCCCTTTGTGTAGCTTTGAACAAAATTTCTAAAACAGAAATTTATAAATCAAAAGCATCGAACTAATCCACAAAATAAAAGCAGTAGGGATAATAGATTTTAAAGGAAGATTTGACTTAATAGCCATTGTTTGTCTTATTTTCAAATTTTTTATATATATTTGTATTGATTAAGTTGTAATGTTTTTATGTAGCATGCAATAGTTTAAAGGAAAGTTGGAAACAAAGCATTGACATAGTGGAGAAAAATATCCAGCGCTTAGTAAGTGTGATACAGTTCTTTATTGAAATAATATAGTGTGCTTGAAAATAGAATAGATATATGTATTGTGGGTAACTATAGCAGTTTTATATCATACTATGTTACACGAATATGATAGCTTCGTATCGTTACATGAATATGATAGCTTCGTATCGTTAGAAACTGAAGTTTACTAAGTTACACAAATATGATAGCATCGTATCATTAGAGACTGAAGTTTACTAAGTTACACGAATATGATAGCTTCGTATCGTTAGAGACTGAAGTTTACTAAGTTACACAAATATGATAGCTTCGTATCGTTAGAAACTGAAGTTTACTAAGTTACACGAATATGATAGCTTCGTATCGTTAGAAATATGATAGCTTCGTATCGTTAGAAACTGAAGTTTACTAAGTTACACGAATATGATAGCTTCGTATCATTAGAAACTGAAGTTTACTAAGTTACATGAATATGATAGCTTCGTATCATTAGAAACTGAAGTTTACTAAGTTACACGAATATGATAGCTTCGTATCATTAGAAACTGAAGTTTACTAAGTTACACGAATATGATAGCTTCGTATCGTTAGAAACTGAAGTTTACTAAGTTACACGAATATGATAGCTTCGTATCGTTAGAAACTGAAGTTTACTAAGTTACACGAATATGATAGCTTCGTATCGTTAGAAACTGAAGTATTACTAAGTTACATGAATATGATAGCATCGTATCGTTAGAAACTGAAGTTTACTAAGTTACACGAATATGATAGCTTCATATCATTAGAAACTGAAGTTTACTAAGTTACACGAATATGATAGCTTCGTATCGTTAGAAACTGAAGTTTACTAAGCTGGACGAATATGATAGCTTCGTATCGTTAGAGACTGAAGTTTACTAAGTTACACGAATATGATAGCTTCGTATCGTTAGAAACTGAAGTTCCCTACTGAAATTATTGATGATATCTGTAGAAGTTAATTATTTATAGAGTAAAAGTTCAGACATTATGTGTTTAAACTCGGCTAATTTGTTATCACAATTCATTAAACCAGGACACTGTATCAATAAATCAACCTAATATATCTAAAATTTAAACACCAAGCTTGTAAATGTGGGTGTTAGTGGGTGATAATTTGTAGGAAACTTTAATACATTGTGTCATGGTTGTCTAACTTTTGTTGATATTTATAACTATTCCTTCATGTATGTGTAACTGATTTTTAAAGTTAAAATAACTCTCTTATTTAATATTTACTATAACATTACAGCTAAGACATCCTGATGTTGCCTAGTGCTCACTTTTGGCATCTGTGCAGTGTCATTATATATACTTGTTGAAATGTCATGATATATTTACACACATTGTAGTATCATATACACATATGCATTGTTTAAGAAAACTTAATATTTTCGTTTATGACTGAAGGTGAAAATAGTTTGGTGCAGGTATAATATCTGAATGAATAAAGTAACATAACATAAAATAAAATATAAATAAAGTATTTCTAAGTTTATCAGGAACTATAAACTGTAGGAAATTAAACTATTTTTTGTATATCTGTATAATTATATTCTAAATTTCCCATATCTCGTGGTTTGTCTTACAGCAAGCAACAGTTGGTTCACTGGAGTCTAGGTCTAGTACAATTAACACAAAAAGTATTGACCTTCAGAGAAGTCCATATGCCAAAGCAAAACAGGTTAATCCACTTGAAGAAGTGTAAGTGTTTATTGTAATGTTTAAAGATATTCACCTTTGTATACCATGTAGACAGAGAGTATTCGTGTCACTAAATTTACTAAAGTCTCTGGTAGTGCATGTAAAGTGGGAATTGCTTAGTAGTAAACTTAGTGGAGTTTTTATAACATAGATTGAATGAACTAAGACTGAAAAACCCTGTCCTACCTTTACATTATTTAATTATGATAACAATGTGCCGATATTGTTTTAGCTTTAGTTTTTGTAGTTTCTAATAACAAAATGTGTGCTTTCTGGTTGTCTTGTAACAATAAGCTAATGCTTTCTTCAGCTGTAGTTTTTCTAGTTATATGGTAACAATGTGCTAATGTCTTAAATTTCTAATGATCTAGTAACAATGTGCTAATGTCTTAAATTTCTTATGATCTAGTAACAATATGCTAATGCTTTAGATTTCTGGTGGTCTAGTAACAACATTTAGTATGGCTTGATTAAGTCCTTAGGATAAGCTAGCCATGTGTTTGCTACACATCAGCATAAGAATTGAAGAAAAAATTGTTTAACACTCATTTCAATGTTTTCAGCACTCAGACTGTGATGACTGCTTATGATAGACTGAAAAGAAGGCCTAAAGGTAATTACACTTTTAATGTGTAGATTTTCTAATGATTCAAAAGTTTAAGACATCGAATGTTTTGTTGAAATCAGAAATATCATAGATGAATTTTCTTACACAGGACTTACACTGTTTTCCAAAATTCACTTGTTATAAAAATGAGGTTGTTCTTTTATTATAAGAGTAATGTTAGGGATAGCTAGTGCAGATAGCCCTTGTGAAATTAGGCTTAGCGTAGCAACTTTAAATATAAGACATGATATATATTGATGTATTTTTGAGTTCCTAAAAGAAATTTCTGTGATGTCAGGTTGTCAAATTAGGCTTAGCTTGGCAATTTTAAATAGCAAGAATATATTTTTTTTTAATTTGATTAGACTTTCAAATATTCTGAAAATAAGCAAGCTCAACAGACAAACATACATGTATAAAACACAGCTGGAGAAGTTGACTCTCAAACATGCTGAAAACATGTAAGCACAACATAAACATAAAGATGGAAAACAGCTGAGGAAAGTGCCCCACAAAGTTTCTGAAAACATACAAGCTCGGCAGACTAATACACATGTAGTAAAATCCGACTTCCATTTTTTTTGTATTTAGAGTTATTGTTGGAAACTACACTTAGTGACTTTTTTTAAAATAA